CCAACCTTCCATCGTGGTCGAGGAATTGGATCACCAGACCCTCCTTGGGCTTGTTTTCGGCGAAATTGACCACGTGAGGCACAATTGCTCCATCATATCCTTGATATTCCCTTTTCTGTTCCGCCGAATCATGCCATACATCTTCGTACACCGACGACCATTGGTCATAACCAAATTGAGAGGCTTGACTTTTGGATTGGCCGTTGAAACAAAATCCCTGGTGCAATGTAAAGCCCTGGTACCCCCCATGGATGGCACGCGCGAGTGTGACAACCACCGCTCGCCATTTGGCGGGCAGGGCGCGCACATAAGACTGGCCTAGAGGCGGTTCAGGAATAGGCAAAAACGGCGGCGCAAGGACGTCCGCAATGGCAGCGGGGCGCAAATGCCCTCGCACGGGATGGTACTGAAACACAGCACGCTCCACGTAGCGGTCGAACTTGCCCGGTGTGTCAAGGATAGCAGCACGATCCTCCATCTGGTGCCACTGCCCTTCACGAAGAATCCAAGTCGACCGAAGGTAACGACCAGGCGGCAACGCAGAAGGCGGCCCCCGCAACATGCGCGGGAACTTGACACCCAGGATGGGGTCCACACTGTCATGTTCTTGCAAGCCTTCCTTACTCGACAATCCAGCGCGATACAACACCTGAGGGAGGATCGGCGTCTGCGTGTAAGGAAAACAAGGCACCTCGCTCTTGAACGAGTAGTGCTGCTGACCCTTCTCATCCGTGCGTTGGGTATGAGTAGGCCGCATCAGATCCATAATCTCTTGGGAGCCGATGAGATCCGGCGGAAAGATGTTGATGAGCTGACACGCATGTGTCCAGGACACTGAATCCTTGAACGACTTGGTGTGTATGTCCGCTGACATCTTGGCAGTGACCTCATAGGCAAGAGAAACGTAACCTTCCTGAAAGATAGAATGCATCCATCCAATGCAGATACCGTGGGTAAGTTCCAAGTGACGCATAGTCGGATTCTTGCCCGTGCGAATCACCCCGATCATGGTCTGGTTGTCGTCGTAGAAGACGAAGTTGGGGTCTTGCCCCCCAAGCTGCTGCCACAACGTGATAGCAGGCAATCCAAGACGTGACATGGCAAAGTCGGCCGCGACAATCTCGGCCTCAGGTGTGGAATGACTCAAGCATCCCTGCCTTTTGCTAAGTCCCGCCAAGGGAATCGTGTGTGAGAACCTTGAATGTGCAAGTGAGCACCGGAGGTAGATTTCAAACTTTCTCCACAACCTGCATAGTCCGCATCTGCAAACAGCCCGATGGACGAGTCCTCCAAGGAGTTCCCGACCCATCCAATCATCATGTGATGTTTGGACTGGTGCACATAGGCCATGATATGATGAAGAAGAGCATCCTCCTTCTTGGTCCATTTCGTGATCTTGCGTGCGAGATTGTTGATACTGCGCAGAAGATCAAAGCGGCAAATGCGCGCGGCATAAAGCAATTTCATGAGAATGCTGGCTGCCTGCGGAGCAAGTGCGCCGCGATTAGCCTCGTTGATTTCCTCTTCCTCGGCCGCCTTGGGAATAGGTGGAGGCGGAACGAGCCGACCATCCTTATCAACAGGCATGGTGTGTCCACACCACGTGCATCGATGGCTTTTACCTGACTGTGCCGTAGCGCGAGCTGGGTGATTCTTAGTCTCCTCAGCCGGACTCGGCGATGGTACCGTCTTGAATTTTGTCGGATCGAACCCAGTCACGTCGCAGTACTTCTTGACTGTCCTGTCCAGGTACGTCTCCATGTCGTAGGTAACGGTCTGCACCTTCGTTTTGTCATGCAACGTTGCCTCGCCCTTGGAGATGCGACAACCCAGATACAAGCCCAGCGGCGTTTCTTCTTCCAATCGAAGTTCCTGGCGCAGCATGTCCCAGCCCTTGGGTAGATTCTCTTTGGGCCCTGCCATCTTGAGATCATCCACGTAGATGACAAGCAAGAGCTTCATTTGCGGGTGGAAATACAATGATGGCCATTCATCGCCAATTGGCTTGAATCCTACTTTCTGTACCGCGGTGTGGCAATGTTGTTCCCACATGGTTCCTGCATCAGGATGTCCATATAGAGCTTTGATCAGGCGGCATACCGGCCTACGGAATTTGTGCCGTTTCGCAGATGGATGCCAGGCTTCATCAGGCAGTTCAACCCAACATGGAGTGCCCGATAGTCTCGCCTGAATGTATGCTTGGATAGCATCCGCCATCTGAACATCGTTGCCAGGAAGGCATCCGTAGTAATCTGCCCATCGTGAGGCGTCAAACGTAGCCGGGGAATTCCCCAAATCCTGAAACAATGCGGCTTCCATATTCTGGTCTTTGACCTGATCACCGAGTAGTACACCTCGCCCCTTGAACTTCCTTGCAGGATCGTCCTCTTTGAGCTGATAGTTCTTCTCGTATATCAGTCCATGTACTCGCGCCATGTGTACTTTCTCACCTTTCTTCTTTGCCTCAGCGACGACGTCGTCATATTCACGCGTAGTTGAGAAGTCAAACACCTTTTGGTCCCACAATCCCTTCCATTCTTTCATGAAAGCTTCCATGGCCTTGGGATTGTTGATCATCTCCTTGCGTGTGACGGGTCGAGTGACCATGGCATTGAAGCACGATCCTCCTGCATGATTCTTTTCCCGATGTACGTTTCTGTGAGAAGTCGTACATGGCATAGAAGGAATCCAGCTATCATCCATGACCATATGCGCCGGAACGGCCGGCACGACATCTGCCAAGAATTGTTCCTGTGTATATTGATCCACATAGGACTGTGCCCATGACCAACCATCATCGTCGTCAACGGATACGTTGAGTTGCAGATCAATTTCTTCACATGGTACAATCTTGGGAAAGATCATGTTGTCCAAAATCTTGGTGACTATCTTCTTTCCTATCACAGCCTTCTTCCGGTCTTTCTTGGCAACTCGAGCTTTGTCTCGCTTTTCTTTCTTGTATGCTTCCTTCTTCTCCGTTTCGCTCATCTTCTTCCATGCTTCCGGAGAATAAGAATGGATAGGTCGCCGTGTAGGAAGAGTTCGTCGACCGTCACTTCGGATCTTATACGGAACTCCTCTTTTGTCGATCTTGCAGGCTTCACCGTCATCGGTGAGATATACAATGCCGTCCCCTTTCTTCCCCATACTCCAATGTTCAATCTCCTCGGGAGCCAACTTCTTTTCTTTCAAGATCTTGATAATCTCTCCAGGTTCTTCGATGTCTCCTTCGGGGATGAGTCTACCGGTTGTACCGACTTCGCGGGGCGATCGTCGATCTTTCCCAGTGACCTTTGGTTCAGAAGGAGGCGGTGCTGCACGTAGACCCAGCTCTTCGTCTAGTTCTTCGAGTCTTTTGTCTCCTATGGCATCAATAGCTTCATGTTCTGCTGCCTTGAAGACTTCGCCGGACGGCTCCGTCTCTATGTCAGATGGATCTATGTCCTGTAAGTCAGGATCTTCTCCGGGATCCGGTGGAGGAAGAAGTCCATTTGGATCATCGTCATCCCCGTCGCCACCATTCCCTCCGGGCGGACCGTCGTCACCGTCATCGACGTCTTTTATCTCCTTGCCAGCGAGGTCAACGTTGTCCCTGAGTCCCTCAATGGTTGAATTCATCCTTTCGTAATCGGCTTTCAGGGGAAACGTTATCTCCTCTGGGAAGTAGATAACTTCTGTCTCGTACGGTCTCATCAACTTCCTGGGAACAGATGCGTCCATCGACAAGTTCGCGTTGGCAAATTCCTTCATATCCCAAACGCGATACTTCTTGGACCACCCTTGACCAGCAGTGATGATGTATCCGGCAAAAATACCTGGAATTCCCTTTGGATCGAATTTGTTGCCATATGTCTTCGGCCTTGTGTCCGTCGGCTTGAAGAAGACTTTGGCCCCAAAGGGTATGGCTTTTCCCTCGAAGTCCTTTCCAGTCATCCGCTTCCATGCTGAATCACCATCGCCCTCCGCGTCTTCAACGTTGAGGTTCTGCATCACGCAATTAAGCGCAAAGGACCAGTATTGAGCGGGCAATCCGGCGTGTAGCATGGATGCTGCGACTGTGTTGATCACTTCTTGATTTGATCGTTCAGCGAGTGAAGTGTTACTGGGTTTCCCTGGAAGGGAATGATCTATCACGATCTTCAACTGCGCCATAGCTGAATCGAACTCTGGTGCTTCATCACTATACGCCATATGAATCTTGCGTCTTCCCATAAGGCGTCTGATGGCCATGACGACTTCATCAGTGCTCCTTTGCTAAACTTTTCCTGTGGTTCACACGCCTGCGGAGTCACTCAGTCAGTATTGGGCTCTAAAATACAGTGGAGCAAAACAAAACATACAGCATGCAAATTAGTTCAGTACGGCAGCATACAAATGTGGTACACGTGTGGGTACAAACTTTAGCACCCCGCCTAAAGAGCGAGCTACTTCGAGAAGCTCTTTACACAAAGTTTGTTGCTGCCTTTCCGTAAGACGAAACACAAAGTTTACACGCTCCACAGACTCCTACAGCTTCAGACGTTTGTCAGTTTCAGCGCTCTGCCTCAAAAGGTCTTTGGCGCAAAGCTACACTGTACACGTAGCTACAACTAGTTACCGCCACCTCCACAGGCACGGGCTGCCTGCGAAGTGACTGCTTGACTGACCCAAGCGGAGGCCTTTCCAAGAATCAAGATAAGCTCAGCATTCAAGTTCAAGGAGACGTAAGATTTGGATGCCTAAATGCATCGGGCGGCCTCAACCTGCCCCTTCGGACTCTTCAACCGCTCCACGGTTGCGACATTGCGATTGTTCAGTGATTTCAAGTATTGACACGCCAAAATGGCATGTGTAAGATGCCTTGCATATTTGCTGTTCCACACCAAGTCTATGTACAAGGTTAACCCGCAGCCACTGTACAAGCTCCATCACCGCGCCAATCCATCCGATCAGTGAGCAGCGCAAGCGCTACCCACTCAAGGAATGGGCATCATGAGCATTATACACAAGTGGTCCAAGTCTCAAGGATTGCAAATGCGGCATCCGCGGTATCCACGACTCTCAGCCAACCGCCTGGTAGTCGATGTAACACTGTTGCTCTGGTTCAGCTTTCCGCATCCTGCTTTGTGATAGCAGTAGCCCTGGGCACCGGAAACCCACACTTCATCATCATCGCTGTTCCTGGCCTTTGGCTTGGGCCTTGCTGGTGGACGCCTTGCACGCGGGACATCGGCATCTCCTGTGCTGCTTGTGCTTGCTGCACTGCTTGACGGCTTATCGCTTGCACTGCCACTCGACACTTCAAGCTTGACCGAGGCTCCCGGGGTCAACGGCACGTTGAAGTTCAAGCGACCTGGCGATTCATGGCTGCTCATTGGCACATCACCAGCATTGGCACTTTCACCACGTGCCCCTTCATCATCGCTGTCACCGCAACTGCGCTTGGGCGGCTTGGTCATTCGCTTACTCCTGGCACCGCGTGGCGATGCAGGAGACATGCCATCATCTCCTGACGCATCACCTCGCATGCTCAAGATCACATTGCGCCTTCGGCACACACACCATCCCAAGCACATCAGAATCATCCACATGAACCCTTGCATGAAGCTTGTGGCTGCAATCGGATACAGCTGGGCATACTCACCTGCAAAAGTGAACACAAGCATGATCATCTCCAGCACCTGTTGGACGATGCTGTGCATTCCATCTGTGCCATCATCGGCACCGACATCTTGTTCCTCGCTGTCCGCTGCGGCTGCAACGGCATGCTGGCTCAAGGCGTGCGATAAGACAATCATTGCAACTTGCAATCCAACGGAATTGCCAGCATTGCCCTGCTGCTTGACCAATCGCACCAGCTTGCGCACTGTGTTGCCATCAAGAAGGTTCTGAAACTCTTCACTCCCCACAAGCGCATAGTCATCATTGGCATCCCGGATCCCAACCTTGTGCAGCAATGCTTTGATCCGGGGTCCTTGAAGGCTTTTCGTTCCAAGGTCGGACACATTGTGCTTGCCATCAACAGGGTGCACCTGGAGGCTTTCACGGGCGTACTGCTGCAGCCATAACATCTTCGCTTCCAAGTGTCTGATTCGGCCTGCGCCCTGTCGGGCGATCACACCTCGGGCTGCCGCTGAGTCCAAAAGCAAATGCGACTCCACCTTTGTTCCAAGGACAAACTCGACGGCATTGCGGATGAACACTTGATCACACGTTCCTGAAACGGCACTGGCATATTCGGATTCTCCTGAGCTTAACGCTATGGATTTCTGTGTCCGGCTGCTGCTGCTTAGCAGGTGGCTGTTCAAGGTTATGACGCATCCTGACACCGACTTCCGATGCACCTTATCTCCAGCCCAGTCGGCGTCGGTGTGTGTCTCCAGCACATCGTGCCCCGCCTTGCTTTGTACACTGACTCCTATGCCTATGGTGGGCACTGGGAAACCTATGGCATAACCACTAGTGTCCCGAAGGTAAAGGATCATGTGCTTCAGCACGCGCAGTGCCCCAGTGGTGGGGCGACTCATGTGTTGGGCCAACCACCGGATCCCAAATTGCGCTTCAATCACATCGGCCTGCAGATACAAGAGTACTCCAACCGCAGTACGAAACATCGAACTCTGCTCGCCAGTCAACTCTTCATCATCCGTTGGAAGAGTGGTCGGCAGGGGGCTCGACTTGCTCCTCGCACGTGTGAGGTTGAACATTTCAACCAGCTTCTCAACATGGCGCGGGTGAGGTTGGATAATCAAGAGGTCATCACGAACCAACCGATATGCTTTCTTAAGAAACGAAACCTCATCCCCATGCTCACAAAGCCAGCTCACCGTGCACTTGTATTTGTCCTGCACACATGACACCATCACATTCAAGCCTTTGCGCTGTCCTTCACTGAACAAGTCGTCCACATGCAACAATCCAGCAACTGCAACATTCTTCAGCTTGAAGAGTGCCGGGCATGGCACATACGGTTCCAATCCAAGCTTGCTGTCAAGATACTCAGTGAACGATTCATGCCACCGGATCGTTCCATCGCGCTGCCCCGGCAGGAGCTTCAGTAGACGGAAATGTTGCACATGTGATTGCTGATCCCCGAGGCTTGCCTTGACAACCGTTGGTATGCGCTGGTCGACGGTGAGAAACGCGTCTGCCACATCAAGCACACAGCATGCATGCCCTTCACCTTTGGACCTCATAAAGGCTGATGGCAACAACCTCGTCAGCAGACTACTAGAAGCAGGAGCGAACAGCTCGGTCCTATCCTTGTCCATCCAAGCGTACTCACGCCCTACAAACCTGGACCGCCTCAAGTATTGCTGCTGTTCAGTTCCATCGCCAAGTTTGCGCATCTTGATTCTCCAGCTCCTGACAAATTTCGTTGACAACAGTCTGGATCCCTCAGTCTGTGCTTGCTCAGCTGCGTCACAAGTGAGGGCCTCAAGCACATGCATGGCCAACAGCCTACGGATCTCAAAATCATCGGCTGCACTGTCAATCATCAGCATCTCGGCTTCTGAAAGGCTTGGCTCTGTGGGCCCAAATGGCCTCCACAGCTCATCGGGCGGCGCATCAGATCCGCCAGCTTCCTCACTAAAATAGTAATCAGCCAGCCCATAATCATAGCCCTCTAGCTCATCAAGCTCGGCATCTTCAAAATTAAAATCAATTGATGCATCATTGTGGTAAAATTCGTTTTGTGTCACAGCACGCAACTTGGCTGCCTTTGCCGGGCGTTCCTCAGCATTCGCATCCCCGCCTGCGCTAGGCACTCCTGCAACACCTTGTGGCACCTCAGCCTCGACACCTTGCATAGCAGCATCAGGCTGCTCGGCTGGCGCATTGCCAGCGGCCGTACCACTGCCATCATCATCACTCGAGCTGCTGCTGCTTGTGCTGCTGCCTGCGCTTCCATCTGGGCCATTGCTTTTGTGCTCTGAAGCAGGGAGGCTTGGCGAGTAGTTCAAGCTGGTCTCAGGATCCGAAGCAGCTTCATCACCGGGCCCTGCAAGCAAAGGGCTCACAGGCCCAAGCACACCAACTTCATCAGCCGTTGGTTCCGCAACAGCTTCAACAGGTTTGGCCTCACGCTGCTTGCGCATCTTACCAAGTCCACCTGCCACAAATCCCGGGTGGTCCCAAGGAAAATCCTTGATGCAATCATGCAAGCTGGGATCCCATCGCTCGGGCGTTCGGCGGATGGAACGGGTGATGAGAAGTTTCCCACCTGCTGTGACAACCAGGTGGCCATCACTCGCATTGGCCTTGCCCAACCACAGCGAGCGGACCCATTTGGCGGATCCTTTCACAGGCTTGTTGGTCATCGCTGTGCGGCACATAGCCATCACACACTCACCGAACTCGACAAGCTTGCCTGTATAGGGCGACTGGAAAGTGCATTCAAACGGGGTCTGCTGATCTCGAGCAACGACATACCTGTTCAGCAACCACGACCCATGGCGAGCAGCCCACGCGTGAAGTGGGTGCAAACTGCCTACTTGCTTGCCGGTGTTGTGCTCATAAGCACTCAACAGCACACATGCTTGCTGTCTAGTGGATTCCACTGCTTCTTCCGCGGCACCGTTCGAGGCCTTTTCCTCTTCACCTGACTGCTCCAGCCTCGTCCTTTGACCCAGGCGACCTCGGGCCTTCTGAACCTCCTGCTGGAGGGTCTTGCAACTGGGCTCAGGGTCGCAACGTATGGTCACATCATTGTATCCCAGCACATTGCACAATCTGACGATCTCGCTGGTGAGAAATTTGGTGCTTTCCGGACCGCCTTTGCGCTTGGTGGGAATGGCCTCTCTCCAACCTGTTGCACGGTCCTTCACACACAGGGTGATAAGCTTGTTCTCAGGATCAAGCTCGCGACCTGTGAACCCGAAGTCGAAGGAGAGAACCGAAACGGCCCGCTTAGGTTCAACAGTGGCGCTGGCACGATCACTTCGCGCCTTGTGCATCACGCAGTGTTCGCACCACTCACGGTACGGGGCGTGCGTCAGATTGTGTTGCAACCGCTCATGCAGCGTTGGCTCCTTCACAAGCGGAACCTCACGAGGCTCACGGCTCTCGCCTTGTGCACGCTCCTGTTTCTGGCGCACACCTTCTGCAAGTTCAAGACGCTTCAAGTGATCGCACAACCTTTTGTACACCTTGGCTTTGCCACCTGAACGGCCTATATTCAGATACTCGCAGGCTTTGCGCATGACACTCAACGCCGAGTCGGCGGTCACTCTGACACCATTCACTTCAATGAAATCACCGGTCATTTCATCATCTCGGGTTGCAGCCTCCAAAGCTGCTTGCTGGGCCACGGGCACATTCGCACCATCATGATGCTGCTTCTCACCCTCAACATCACTTGCAAACAAAGCTTCAAGATCAGGGGTGCCCGGAACAGTAGACTCAAAAGGAGGAGGAGAGCCGATCCCTCCAACCTCCTGCGCAACACCTGCAGGCTCACCTTCGCCTTCCTGCATTGGCACATCTGTAGCACCATCTGGCGCCTCTTGCACGTCACCTTGCATCACGATCCCAAGCTGCTCTGCCGTCAAAGCTTCTCTGGAGGCAATGGTTAGCACCGTGCGCTCTACCCCATCGGCAAATTGCTCATCAAGCACATCCAAAGTTGTGACATCGCGGCACAGCTCCCAAAGCTCCCAAATGCGCATTACAGGATCAACGCAAACCAAAGTGGTGCGGTACTGCATACCTTCCATCGGCAAATACAAGCTCACATCAAGGTAGGCATCGGACTCGCATTTAAGCCCTTGCACTCCTGGGATCAGCTCCTCAAAGAACTCGTTGCCCTTGTTGACCATACTTTCAAGAACAGGGTTCAAGCTGACAGCACGAACGAAGCCATCAGACGGCTTGCTGGTCACAGTCCTGATGCTTCCATCCACAACAAGGCTGTTATGCCTAAACCGCACGGGCACCTTCCGAGAACCCTTGGACAGCACCAGCTCATTGTTCTCATGTTGCACACTCCATCCAGCCTTGTACAACTTTCCGCACGCAAGCAGGGGTGACGTCACATCAGTCACCAAGAAGCGCTCACGAAAGGTGACGCCATTGTCAAGGATGACCTGAGCATAGCGCCATCCGTAAGCCCGCAACGGGTTTCCTTGGGCATCCGAAAAGTTTGCCCTCTGATTTGTGCTTGCCTTGCAACCTACACCTGCATATGCATACGGCAGACACGACTCGTCGGCTCCAGAGTCGAGCACCACTTCTGTGACCTCCTCAACCACGGGCAACGGCTCAATCTCAGGACGAAACCCAGCTACCCTGATGACACCTCTCACTGGGGCTGCTATGGCCTCAAAGGACATGTCACTTGCACACTCATCTGAGCAACGGGTCCACTGTGCATCATCATCAGTACACGACATGTCGTACCAACTTGCACTTGCTGCACTGGCTGGCGCCTGACCTGACCTGGGACCTGTGCATGACGCCATGTTGCACACCTCCTGGCCTGTGACCTCGACGGAACCTGATTGCACCTGCGTGGGACCTGATTGCACCTGCACTGGACCTGATTGCACCTGCGTGGGACCTGATTGCACCTGCATGGAACCTGATTGCACTTGCGCGAAACTTGATTGCACCTGCACACCTACGCAAAGCTGAACAGCCCTGACATAAGAGCTGCTTCCCACTGAAAACACACTCAAATCAATCTCATCATCACTCTCGAAAACGGTCTGCACTGCTTCAACGCGATTCACCTGGCGGGCTCCGACCGTGGGGGCTCGAGTGCTCGCAGTAGCTTGCGAAACTGTGGACGCAGCAGAAGACGGGATGGCCTGGCTCGGCACTTCTTCGGCCACCTGTTGCACACGCCCCTGCTGTGGAGGGAACCAGCACTCATTCTTCCAATGCCCTCTTCGCCCACAGTTCCCACACACATCTGGATCAAGCCTGCCCTTTCCTCCACCTTTGCCCTTGCCTTTGCCGCCTTTTGCATCTTTGCCCTTGGATCCCTTCGCGTTGCCCTTCCAATCCTGGGCACTCCATGCTTTGCCCTTGCCTCCTCCTTTGCCTTTGCCTTTGTTAGCCTTGCCACCTTTGGTATCCTTGCCTTTGCCCTTTCCACCTCCTTTGCCTTTTCCTTTCTGAAGACGATCTATCTCCATTGGGGTGGCATCATCATGATTTTGCTTGGTTCCCAGAAGTATGCTATCTTGCGCAAACACATTGCCAACACCCCACTTGAACTGCACACGCTCATACCGCAGCACTGCTTCTCTCAGCACACTATAGGAGGCATCCTCAGGCAGTGACGCACAGATGTGTTGGCGCATCACTCCTGACAAAGAACGCAAAAGCAAGGCGCTCTTGAGGCTTGGTTGCACATCTTCGCCACTGGCAAGGGAATACTGTTCAAAAGCTCGTTCCAACTCCAAGATTTGCGGCAAGTATGGCTCTCTAGGATTGAACCCTTTGATCTGGGTCAACGCACTAAGGATCCCAAGCGACCGAACTTTGCTAGGCGGTTGAAACTGCAACAACAGCATTCTCAAAGCTTCATAGCCCTGCTGGTGGTTGATCTGTTTCACAGTTTGGAAGGCCCTTCCTTTGATCAAGGTACTCAAGAGAGCATACAGCTGAAAGCTCCGGGCTTGCTGCTCTGCACTGACAATCAAGACTGGGTTGTTCAAGGATCGCTCCACTTCAGAAATTTCCGCATCGAAATTTTGATCTACTGCCACCAAGAACTGTCTAAACACCCAGTACCAACTATGCCAGCGGCTGTGCTCATCTTCGGCCTTGTCAACCTTAAAGGGTTCAGGCTTAGGGAGGATTTTAAGCAAGTCACGGCCCTCAAGTCCAGCTTTGGCACCTGCCGCACTCTGTGCATTGTGCATCGACTGCACAGCTGTAGCAGCAATCGAAGCAGCATTCGTTGACGCTTCCACCATGGATGCCATGCGATTTAGCATTGCTTCAAGTGCCATACCCATATTGCTAGGGCTTGCTGCAGGACTAAAGGGATTCTGCTGGGCTGCTTGCAACTCGGGCCCATCATCATCAATCTCTGGCATCGGGATTGCGGCTGCCTGTGCTTGCGCTTGTGCTAGCGCCTGTGCAGCAGCTTGTGCATTCTGATCCATGGCACTACTGCCGGTCGGCCCCGACGTCTGCAGCTACCCGCCGCGCTTATTTCACCGAACTGTCCACAAGAAAATCCTGGATCCCTTTTCCACTTGGACAATGGCACACAGTTGGTCCTTAAAGAGCTCTCTCACCAAAAGAACCCGAGAACCTAACCGTGACGTGTCAAAGTCCCTCTCACTACCACTACTCTGGGGTCTGGGTCCTGCCCCGAGCAGCGGTTCGCCAAACACAAGGGAGTGGCTTACCAGCTGCTCCGCTACCATGCTAAACTTTTCCTGTGGTTCACACGCCTGCGGAGTCACTCAGTCAGTATTGGGCTCTAAAATACAGTGGAGCAAAACAAAACATACAGCATGCAAATTAGTTCAGTACGGCAGCATACAAATGTGGTACACGTGTGGGTACAAACTTTAGTCATCCTTGAAGCCGTGGGAATCGCTGCGATCATTTTGGTGGCGATGTCTCTGATAACTAGAACTTCCCGTGCTCCGTCATCGAGTCCGATGCCTGCTTCGGCGGCCTTGCGCATGTCAAGGAAGTCGAACGTCACAAGATCTCCCCAGTGTTTGATCACACGTTGAAACGCACCTCGTTGTGTTCGCCAGTGCTTCATCTTCGCGCGTATGCACGATTCGCAATATGGGTTGCGGTAGCGATGAGTACACAGATGTGCCAACGTCTTAGCTTCGGCTTTCAGTGTTCCGACTCTGGCCTTGCGGCTCGGCGCACCGTCGCCTTCTACATCAATGATCACCTCATCGTCACCGTCAAATGGAATTTCACCCACTCCTTTTCCTTCGTCGTCGTCCGGAGGTCGTCCGGCCTCGGACTCTGGTACTTCTTCTATAGGCGGTTCTTGGGGTTCAGGATCAGGAGGTCGTTCGTGATCGTCACCTTCTTCTTCTGCTTCAATCTCGCTCGGTGCAGCTTCAGCGGCAGCTGCGACGCTAACGTCAACGTTGCCCGCTGTCAACGCACCCTTGAAGATTTCGGTGATCGCTTTGGCCTCCGGATCATCATTAACCAATGACTTGGAACTCCCGGCACGAACGTACGGGATGTCACCGTTCACGAACAGAGATATTCTCTTGCCCTGCGGGTTGATCATGAATGGTTCCCTTCCGGGTGGCCACACAAACCCGTAGTTGAAGTTCATACATCTCTTGCCTATGGACAGCACCGACGGTGTGTCATCCAACACATAAGCGTTGATCGGTTCCTCGAACGACTCAGTCTGGAAATTCGACACGAGATCGGTATCGGTGATTCCATTGGCTGTCTTAAATGATATGGGCTCTGGAGTCACGAGTGTTTCGAGACTGTGCTTCTCGATCTTCTTCTGAGATATGAGGTCATGACCACACCCAGTGTCCATGAGAAACTTGATCTTCTTCTTGAGGATGACTGGTTGAACCATGCATTCGAATAAGCCTTGATTGATGATCCGTTTGCTG